TCCTCTTGGGGGGGGTTTGTTGGGGGGGGGTTGTTGGGGGGGGGGGGCCAGTTGGGGGGGGTCAGTTTGGAGGGGTCAGTCTGGGAGTGGTCACTTTGGGGGAGTGGTCAGTTTGGGGGGGTCAGTCTGGGAGTGGTCAGTTTGGGAGGGGTCACTTTGGGGGAGTGGTCACTTTGGGAGGGGAGTGGTCAGTTTGGGAGTGGTCAGTCTGGGAGTGGTCAGTTTGGGGGGATGGGAAGCGGAGTGGTCACTTTGGGAGGGGTCAGTTTGGGAGTGGTCACTTTGACAGGGGACTGGTCAGTTTGGCAGTGGTCACTTTGGGACTGGTCACTTTGTTGGGGACTGGTCACTTTGGCAGTGGTCATTTTGGGAGGGGAGTGGTCACTCTGGCAGGGCACTGGTCACTTTGGGACTGGTCAGTCTGGCAGTGGTCAGTTTGGCAGGCAGCGGTCACTTTGGGAGTGGTCAGTTTGGGAGTGGTCACTTTGGGAGTGGTCAGTTTGGGGGAGTGGTCACTTTGACAGGGGACTGGTCAGTTTGGCAGTGGTCACTTTGGGTGGGGAGTGGTCACTCTGGCAGTGGTCACTTTGGCACTGGTCACTCTGGCAGGCAGCGGTCACTCTGGCAGTGGTCACTTTGGCAGTGGTCAGTTTGGGAGTGGTCAGTTTGGGAGGGGTCAGTTTGGGGGGAGGGGAGGGGGGATTTTGGGGTGAGGATGAGGATGATGAAGATGAAGATGAGGCTGAAGGTGAAGGTGAAGGTGGAGAAGATGAGGCTGAGGAAGATGAAGAGGAAGACGATGAAGAAGCTGAGGAAGACGAAGCTGAAGACAAAGACAAAGGTGAAGACGAGGATGAAGATGAAGATGAAGGTGAGGATGACGAAGATGAGGATGAGGATGAAGGTGAGGATGAAGATGAAGGTGAGGATGAGGATGATGATGAAGATGAAGATGAAGGTGAGGATGATGAAGATGAAGACGGAGCTGAAGACAGAGATGACGAAGATGAAGACCAAGACGAAGATGAAGCTGAAGATGAAGGCAAAGATGAAGATGAACACGAGGATGAAGATGAAGATGAGGGTGACGAAGATGAGGATGAAGATGAGGATGACGAAGACGAAGATGATGAAGGTGAGGATGACGAAGATGAGGATGATGAGGATGATGAAGATGAAGATGCTGAAGACAAAGATGGAGGAGATGAAGAAGATGAAAATGAAGGACCAAGACGAAGACGAAGATGAGGATGAAGATAAAGACAAAGATGAGGCTGAAGATGAAGATGAGGATGACGATGATGAAGGTGAGGATGATGAAGATGAAGACGGAGCTGAAGATGAGGATGAGGATGGAGCTGAAGACAAACTCCAAGATGAAGATGAGGATGAAGATGAGGATGATGAAGGTGAGGATGATGATGAAGATGAGGATAAAGATGAAGATGAGGATGATGAGGATGACGAGGGTGAGGATGAAGGCACTCACCAGTAGAAGGTGAAGAAGATGAAGACCAAGACGAAGACGAAGCAGAAGATGAGGCTGAGGCTGAAGATGAAGATGAAGACAAAGATGAAGGTGAGGATGAGGGTGAGGATGATGAGGATGAGGAAGGTGGGGCTGAAGATGAAGATGATGAAGATGAAGGTGAGGATGAGGATGATGAGGATGACGAGGGTGATGAAGACAAAGATGGAGGAGATGAAGAAAAGGAAGATGAAGGACCAAGACAAAGACACAGCAGAAGACGAAGACGAAGCAGAAGATGAGGCTGAGGCTGAGGATGAAGATGATGAAGATGAAGGTGAGGATGATGATGACGAAGGTGAGGATGAAGATGAGGATGAAGATGGAGCTGAAGACAGAGATGACGAAGCTGAAGACCAAGACCAAGACGAAGCTGAAGATGAAGATGAAGACAAAGATGAAGGTGAGGGTGAGGATGAGGGTGAGGCTGAAGATGAAGATGAAGGTGAGGATGATGAGGATGAGGATGAGGATGACGAGGGTGATGAAGGTGAGGGTGAGGATGAGGGTGAGGCTGAAGATGAGGCTGAGGCTGAAGCTGAAGATGAAGGTGAGGATGAAGATGAGGATGATGATGATGATGACGAGGATGATGAAGGCTCTCACCAGTAGAAGGTGAAGAAGATGAAGACAAAGCAGAAGATGAGGCTGAGGCTGAAGCTGAAGATGAAGATGAAGATGAGGCTGAGGCTGAAGCTGAAGATGAAGATGAAGATGAGGCTGAGGCTGAAGCTGAAGATGAAGATGAAGATGAGGCTGAGGCTGAAGCTGAAGATGAAGATGAGGATGAGGATGATGAAGGTGAGGATGAAGGTGAGGATGATGATGACGAGGAGGGTGATGAAGGCTCTCACCAGTAGAAGGTGAAGAAGATGAAGAAGAAGACGAAGCAGAAGATGAAGGTGAGGCTGAAGCTGAGGCTGAAGGTGAGGATGAAGATGAGGATGATGAAGGTGAGGATGAAGGTGAGGATGATGATGACGAGGAGGGTGATGAAGGCTCTCACCAGTAGACGGAGAAGATGATGAAGAAGAAGACGAAGCAGAAGATGAGGCTGAGGCTGAAGCTGAAGGTGAGGCTGAAGATGAGGATGATGAAGGTGAGGATGAAGGTGAGGATGATGATGACGAGGAGGGTGATGAAGGCTCTCACCAGTAGACGGAGAAGATGATGAAGAAGAAGACGAAGCAGAAGATGAGGCTGAGGCTGAAGCTGAAGGTGAGGCTGAAGATGAGGATGATGAAGGTGAGGATGAAGGTGAGGATGATGATGACGAGGAGGGTGATGAAGGCTCTCACCAGTAGACGGAGAAGATGATGAAGAAGAAGACGAAGCAGAAGATGAGGCTGAGGCTGAAGCTGAAGGTGAGGCTGAAGATGAGGATGATGAAGGTGAGGATGAAGGTGAGGATGATGATGACGAGGAGGGTGATGAAGGCTCTCACCAGTAGACGGAGAAGATGATGAAGAAGAAGACGAAGCAGAAGATGAGGCTGAGGCTGAAGCTGAAGGTGAGGCTGAAGATGAGGATGATGAAGGTGAGGATGAAGGTGAGGATGATGATGACGAGGAGGGTGATGAAGGCTCTCACCAGTAGAAGGTGAAGAAGATGAAGAAGAAGGACGAAGCAGAAGATGAGGCTGAAGGTGAGGCTGAGGCTGAGGCTGA